TATCAGTCGTTTAGTGAGGCAGTTTTGTTAAAAACACATCCAAAAAATTCACAACTATAGAGCTGGAAAACAGATATGGATTTTCATCGCTCTATGCTCCTTTGTCTTTGTTGACTCAACAAAATCAACTTTTTATTGATACAATAAAAACAACTTCTTTCAAGTGACAGAGCCAATTCATCAAATTTAACAATGGAGAGCATCGACAACTACTACGACGAAGGTGATGACGAAGACAATGATGATGACGGAATGGTAGTGTTTACTGCTTAAAAACAAAAAAGAACATAGTCTTGAAATATGTCAGTGTATAATGAAGTGTTAATTGTTCATCAAAACTCATTCCACAACAATGTCATTCGGTCTATTTAAATTCGTGTTATCTGATCAATACGTTCATTTATCACTCTTGTGGCAATTTTCACTACAGTTTCTGATAATAGGGCGTTCGTTGACTGGTTGAGTTTTAGGATTCTTGGTTTGATTATTGGTTTAGTTGCAATAATTGAAGTTGTTTTTGTTCTTTTCAGCCAAATGGTTGTTACTGTTGTTGTTCTATTGTTTCTGTCCCCGTTATTTGTTCGCCAAGGATCTGCTGTAATATCATGCCGAAATCGCTATGGAACGTCGGTAGATTGGTAAACTGTTATTTATTATACTGATAATGAAGCAGTGATCAGGCCCTTTGTCTATTAGGGAAAAAAGAATATTTATCAAAATTATTTGTAATAAATTGATTTGGTGAAACCTTTTTTTTGCTTAATATACTCAGTTTTCTTTTTTCTTTTTTAGGTTTATTGCCTATAAACTTCCAAAGATCAGTGCTTATGGCTCTTTGGCATCTGGAGTCTCTTTATATTATGCAGACAGCAATTCGTTGGATTGGGAAGACATGGAAGATATCAGTTCTTCTGATTCGGCAATTGCATCAACACTGGAACAGTATTATAGCAAAGTTGACGACGATTTAGTATGTTTTTCTGCATTTATCATTTATACAAACTACGATTTCACCAACGGTAACAAAAGTTTACGTTCATCTAAATCTTTAATCCAGCAAATTACATTTACTCCTGAACAGGTTCTACTACAACACTTGTCGTTCAGGACATATTTTATTTATTGTACAACGATGAACATCCGGATGGTGGCAAAAAAGATTTTAAACGTGGTCACGCTAAAGGTGTAGTTTTATTTGATGCAGATACCGGCTTTTTCATGGTCCACAGTGTTCCCAATTTCCCTTCAGCGAACAGCTATGAGTATCCAGAGTCGGGAATGCGAAATGGTCAATCATTTTTATGTATCACGATGAACTCAAAGTCTTTGACTGGTCTTGGTAGGTGACGACTGCTTTCGCAAACATCTTATACTTCTCAAAGCTAACTTTCAGTAGTAAGCGAGAGTGACACATTTTAGCTCAACATCTTTACTATATTCAACCTTCGATTTATGCATCGCAACTCCCAACAGATTTTGCAAGTCTATATCCAACACTACAAAAAGTAATTGCTATGAAACCATTTGAAAAAAGAACGTCTGTTTATTACTCTCTGCAGAAATTGCCTTCTGCTGGTGGAGTGCAGTTCATTGGTTATGGAAAATATAAGAAGTATGGCAAAGGTAAACCAGATTTATTATCATGTAATTCCTTCTTCTCATTAAAAATAAGTTTTCATGACGGCATTAACTTTCAATTGTTGTCTTTCTTGCAGATCTTTACAGAGACCTTGTAGCTGTCTCACTTAAAGAAACGCTTTATGTGGAGACATGGTTGAATGGACCGGGGGATCTGGAATCGTCGTGTGACACCAAATATAAGGTCTTAGCACTACAAGTCTTAAACTTCTCTTCTACATTCTACGCTCACTAGCAAAAAGTTCAGCCAAAATTTGACTTCCCCCAGACCTGAACTACGAAAAAAAGAAACGTTTTTCAAAGAGAGCCGACATAGACAAGGAGTTACTTTTCATTTTCGGGTACGGCTCATTAGCTAAAGGCAGGTGGATGTGCAAATGACAAGAGAGTGGTGCTGTTCACAATTTTTTAACAAGTTCTCTAAAAATTCCTGAATCTTTTCTTTGGATCAAAATCCTGAATTCAATTTTGGAATTGGAACAAAAATGTGAGGTATTGGGATTAGTCTGGACTACATACCACATTATATGGAACTGTTCAATAGTATCATTATCTAAAAGATAAATTATGGCTGTATCTATTCTCAGATATCAAGTATCTCAACAAACCTTTTAAATACTGTTAGTGTTCTATGAGCTCTAAAATATTTGTGAATAACTCAAGTCGAGTACTTTTTTGGTCGGCCCCAATTAACTATTATTACTTTTTCTAAAAATACACCTTCACCTTCATTCTCAGGATAACTACTTCTGCGTGTTTTTCCGCATTTAGGACTTGAAAGTTTGCGGCTCCTACTTACCGATGTTCTTGTGAAATATTGTCTTTTAAGGCCATTAAACATGAATCCGCCTAACTCAATTCCTTACGAAGGCATAGCTGTTCAGATGTGTATGAATTCTTGAAAATTCCAGGTGTTCAATGTATTATCTGTAAATATCGACAACTTCCCTTTCACGAATAGTAAGGACCATTCGAAGTGGGCCGTTACTGACGACAGATACAAACCTTACATCTGCATTGGCGACATAAATCGACAGGTTCTGTTACTTTCTTTGTTACTTCACATCATTGCTACCCCACAACTGCAATAGTGATTCTAATGTTAACAGATTCAAACCAAGTTGAGATGCCTGATCAAGTCCATCACATTTTAAAGAAGTAGCATTTTAGGTTTCGCAAACAAAGCGCAGTGGTGGGACAGTTTGCTTAAAAAACGGAGCTATGTGGAAGCTTTTTAGAAACTCCATTGAAAGAATCGAAGAATGCGGCAAACCTGCCAGAAAAAATAGAAAATATTACAAGTACCAAAAATTTTAAAATAATATCCTTTACACCGGATGCTGCTGACCTACTTTGAAAACTTTACGGAAGCTTGCTCTTGCCACCCTAAAACGGCCAGACAGACTACAGTGCTACCTCATTCAACTGGTTATTGTCACCAGCAGAACGCAAATAAATTGTTACTTCACAAAAAATAATGCGTTTACAAAGTAATTTCAGGATCTTTTGAGTATCGTGTACATTTTAAAATAGCGGGTTTTTTATTGACCCGTATCTGATAAAAATGAAAGAAACACTCAGATCACAAAAAAAGGAGAGGTAAAAGATGCAATGAATACTTCGGGAAGCATAAGGCAACATCGTGTACCTCGACTTCAAAGCGGCTGGTAGATTTCACCGGCTTTTGCTGTGATACAAATGTTATCCGATCAGGAGCTCGGTCGCTATTCGCTTCCAAACGCAAAAGTCAAAGCTTTTTAATTTTATATCTGAAATAAGCACAAATTTTTAACGCTTTTAAGCGCAAAAAATCTGGGACAAGTAATGAAGAGAAAGGCAGAGTATTATGTTCAGTAAATTTACACCTCTTGAGCAAAGTTTCAAGGTACAAATTAGAGCTGTTCTATTGTACACAAGTATAAGGATGACCAACTCTGCTGGCTTTTATTGTTTTAAAAATATAAACTTCGTTAATGTTTTCCGATTATCTTTGCTTCGGAACTGAGTTAACAAAACTCACCAGAGCTTCTAACGCTACTTTGCTTTGATAATAAGTAAACTTTTAAAACTTATTGTTTAAAATGTCTGTCTTTATAGGTGATTTTGAAAACTAAGTTTAAGGGATGTTTAAGAAATACCTGCATCGGGTGTTCATCCTTTGCTGGGGACATGCTCACTTTTGGCTGATCTGTTTCAATTTTGGTTCTGCTGTCATCTGTTGACTTCACTTCCATATGATGTTGTTCCGCTTTAGATTTCATCTGTACATTAAAAAAAATAGTCATGATTTGTACCTGAGAGCGTCTAAATTGAGGGGTAAATCGCTTTTACATTAATGTACTCTTTTAAACTACTGTACTATTTAACAAAATAAGAGTTTTGAACCATAAATGGGAATTGATATGAATTGGAAGTTTTAAAAATTTTAATCACAGTCCAGAATACTAAACCCAATAAACCAGAAAAAATAGCTTATCATAGAACAATTTGTACTGAAGCACAGAATAATTAGCTCCTGCAGTGAAAAAAAATGAGCATTGTAAATGCCGTCAATTCTTACACGACTCACAATTCTGTTCATTTCGTTTTCCATTAGCTCCAAGTCTTCTACCTGCATTTCTATAGAGGTTGGGGGACGCCTGAGCATATCTACAACGAAGTTGCCAGGAAAGTTGAAGCTTCTGTAATGCAAAAGGATTTTTTGGGAGGAGGACAGAGCTTTAATAGCTAAAAAATCGTGCGTAAACAGCGGGTTTAAAAAGTAATTCGCAACTCTAAACATTATTACTTCATAAAAGTGTACCAGGTCCTAAACAGCATCGTATGTCAACTCGAAAACCAGAAAAATCTAATTTTTGTGCGACTTAAAATATGCACTTCGTTCCTGAAGTGAAGTTTTAGCAGACGAAGAATAAAAAAATGAAACGTATGATGGTCTCCTGATCATGATTCTTTTTTGTTAATCTCGAAATCGAATAACAGAAGCAATCCGCAACCTCAATAACGTGAGGGTCTAACCGTATTATAAAAAATACACTTCTGATTTAATTCGGAAGCTTCAACTGCGTACATGAAAACATCAAAACAAAGCTTCCTGTGAATAGTGATCCGCCAATAGAAGCAACAATTTCAAACTGGAAGTCAAACTCAATCAAGAATGTGGAAAATGACTTTAGAAAGGATAAATGTGCACAAAACATACATCGGTTTAAAGGCATCTACAGTTATGAGGTTGCGCTGAATTAACTGCAAGGCAGAGAGCACCGCTTCTGAAAGTACATTGTGCTTTTTCCGGAGAGAATATTCAAAAACAACACTCTTGGGTTGTCTATAGAATAGATAAAGAATGGTTTTTCTTTTTTTGCAAAACCTGTAAGCAAGAGTATTTACAACGTGACAATTTTTGAATGTCCTAACATTTTTCAAACTCATTTGAAACCTTAAAACAAACCAACCAACGTTCTGTTGGTCTTGCGAAGGAGTACTCCATCACCACTGAAAGTGCGCAGGAGGTCCAAAAAAAATTTCACTACCACAATTTTCAAATTTTACTAGAAAAAATGAAAAATTTTTGCCCGCGATAACCAACAGCAAACAGCCAACCTTGCTGCAAGACAATAGCAATCTTCATATTTCTGGTTATAGCAAAGTAATCTCTAATAATGACACCACGTCACACCCATCGTGTTTTCCAGGATTTTTCTTGAATATTTTTTCTTGCAATAGATGCTTAAAAGAAAATATAATAATACCAAAAATGCCACTACCTTAAAATTATTTTTTATACATTAATCCGCTTCTGTAGATGCAGATTTCTCTAAAACCACATCCAATCTCTACAGAAGAAGGCTGTGGAGCGGCTAAGGACTTTTATCCTAATTTATAGGCTGTTTATAAGTTGAGTTGTAGCTTTAAAAGTCAAGCTCTTCAGAGCAAAACCATTTTTATTCCAATTCAAGAAATAAACGCATTGAATAAATACTAGACATTTTTTTTAAAAGACTGCCCAATTATTTTTGCTGCTACCTCTACATCCTTTCCCAAGTATATGTAAAAGCAAATTGTTATAATGTTCGCTATTCAACTGTTCAGTAAAATACACCATAGAATTCTCTACAAAACCTTACTATTTGCTAAAGCGTCGAAAATGAGCAGAAATAAAAATGAACTGCTCGGCTATATCCAGTTACTAATTTGCTAAAAGAATCCCAAAGAAGTAAAAAAACAAAAAATTAATTAATTTATAAAGAGACTGGTTCGAAATAAACAGTTCTGTAGACGCTGATTAAAATCCACTATTCCTCAGTAAACCTAGACTAATCAGAACAGTCAATAACTGTACACGAATTACATTTAAAATCATGTTAACGTTATTAAACTCAACACAACTTCCAGCCGCGTATTTTCTTAAACGCGTAGAAAGCCTCAGAAGTTCTAAATTTACTTTTTCTTTTCATCAGCGAGGTAAATTAATAATTTAATGTTCAGTAACTTAAAACTACTTCAATAACATCACAATCTAATAAAGTGCTTTCCAAACCTTTTTTAAGCCGTTGCTTATTTTTAAAGCAAAAACTGCACTTTTTTTCCTTCCTCCTTCTATACACTCCTTCTTTGATCACCTAAAAATTTACAAAAAACGGAATGGGAATAACTTTTGTAAATTTAATCAAAGAGTTGTAGCAATTTTTTGATCTTACGCCACACCAACATTGCGCTTCAACCTCTACGTCTGTCATTGCAAAGCTCCCATCTCCCAGATACTCCCGTTAATCAGTTTGGTCAAATGTATTTTAGTGTATTTTAGTACCCAGATTAATGCAACAATACGGCTATTAAATTCGGACAGCACGTAAAATAGCTGTCACGTAACATCGACACCTCTGTGGGTGCACCTGAGGTTTTCTTACATTTCAAACCTACAATGGAATAGTTCATTTGGTGTAAACAAATACAGCCTACAGCAAGATGTACTACAGTAGGGGAACTTTTTTATAATCGTAGAGAGGAACTTACAATGTTTCAAACCAAATCTACCAGTGATTAGTACTGCCATTTGACCACAAGCACCTGAAAAGGCGATGTGACGTCCTTTGCTGTTATGTAAATTTTATTAAAACTTGGTTTAAAAGCAGACGTTAATTATTTAAAATAAAAATGCTCGTAATCTGCCAGCAAATTTCAATAACAATTACAGTGGCGCGCTTACAGTTTTCCACTACATCGCAAGTTTGCATGATATCTAACACAACATGTCACTGAATTAGCCGATACATTATGCCAGTGTAAAGCAGAAGTTCGACAAGGCTCTTCCAGCTGTGTTTCTAAATCTGAAGTTTAAACAGTTTGTTACCTACTATTTTTGAGCACAACCTGATAGACTTTCTATAATCTAAATCAGGAGATTCAGAACGTTGTTTTGCAACCTCCAGTCGACTTCCTACAACAGCTGTGCCACTTTGCTACAAATGTTTTACAAATATTTCGGTTTACGACCTGTAGCAGATGAAATTAAAAATTCATAAAGCAAGATTTTTTCCAAGGTAAATTCTGGTAGAATCTCTGTAAAAAGCTCAGCACACCCGCCTTTCAGAAAATTCAGTGTGCAAACTGAAAACGTCTATCTTGTTTTCGTCAACAAATAAAATTTTCGAGCATACCCTCAGTTCGCAATGGATATTTCCTTCAGAAAAGCTAGCATAATCTTCATCAGTTTCAGTGATTTATTATCTTGCTACTAAAGTTAAAACTAAACTAGGCTTTTGACTGTTCCTACTTCATCTTTGGAAAAAAGAAAGATATTTTGAAACTGTAATCGCTTACATATGTTTGACAACAGTATGGAAGAGCTTTTTTTGGAGCGTACGGAAAAATTGGTATTTCCTAAATTCCTCTAAAATACGTTATCTGAAGAGGCATTTACAAAAAAAGAGCGGAAGAAATTTTATACAGCAAGTAACAGAAAATCTAGATGCAGTACATTTATGAAGCACGATAATTTTCTTCAGCAACAAAATAACTTAACTACCACCTTTATTTCGCCGCTGTAAAAAACGCTGCCCACCTGTACTATCTCTTAACGCAAACTTTTTCTTATTAATTTTATTCTTTAGTCTCTCACTCACATCTGAAAAATTGTTTTTACAATTATTTAACAATTACGATATGAGACAGGTATATGTTCTAAAGAAATTAAATTCATAAACGTGGGGAAAATTTAATAGGATGTCTCCAGCAATATTACCACCATTATATTCATTACTAAGAAAAATCGCCTAGAACCTGTTTTAACCCAGAGCTTGAATAATATTGTACAAATTTTGGTTCGGCTGGATTGTTCTCACTAAAACACCTCATCTTTTTTTTTTTCTTGTGATGATTTATAACTTATTCATTTGAAGTGATTACGCAAAAAAAAGTATACATCCACTTAACATTAAGGCTTGACAGCGCATGAATCCGAATCAGAAATCTAAGTATCTGGAAACTAGCAAGGAAAGAAGCAGGGAATGTAATAAAAAAATAAGGTGATATACCAGCACATTGCTTCCTGTGTTGCGCTCTGATTGAATTCTCTTCGGCAATTGGCCAGCCGACTTCCCGCTAATTTTTAGTAAAAAAGGACTGATAACAGCTCCAAATTAATGCACCTGAAAGATTCTGGATAGTATAGAATGTCGCATAATCTTGAAGGGGTCGTGCACTTTTTTCTTTTGCTTGGGGATTTCTAGTGCATGTGCTTTGATGTTAAATGATACTTAAAAACTGGTTTTTGAAAGCTGTCGCGTATTTATAAAGGTTGGTTGCATTCTTAATGTTCTCATTTGCGATAGATCAGTTGTTTATGAGGTTTATTGAATATCTTTGGAGTGGTGATGTTTTGATGAATGGAATGATCTTTTTCTGGTAATTTTGATAAAGTTGGTATTGATTGTTTCTTTAGTGGCGATGCTTGGTTATTCCTCGTCTGCCGGTCTGAATTTGGATTTGAGCCGGTTCTCGTTTCAAGAAGTGTTGAGAAGCGATCCAGATGAAAAGGTTCACAAATTAATTTTCTTAAAAGATTTTTTGATACCAGTAGAAGTATCAGTTTTAGCAATTATACTGGTTCTTATCAATTTGTCTCGGCTTTGTATTTGGGTTGAAAGTTATAAGTGTTAGGAAACGTTACAGTTGCTAAAAAGCTTTATACCTTATAAACTTCTAAATGAAATCCTTTCAACATGTATCCTTTCATTAGCATTCTTAAACAAGATTTTGATAAAATTGTGGATTGGATTCTTGTACCAGGAGCTTCTTAGCACTAAATTGTCGTTGAGGGGATTTTGCTATATTTTCCTGTGGTTCATATGGAGTAATTAAATTAGGTGCAGGTAATTTTTGACATATCGACTCGTTAGCGGTGTTAACTGCGTGATTTAGTCGCTATTTGTGCTGCTAAAGGACCAGGCGGGTGAGAGAGCTGTTTTACTGTGTAACCGGAACCCGTTTCCTGTGGACGCTCTCTCTTGGAGCACAATTCTTGCAAGTACGAAGGTTGAAAAAATACTGCAAAACGACAAATATGGAAATCTTCGCCTTTTTTTGCCAGAAGAGTTTTGTGGTACGTATTTCCTGGTTTCTATGATTTTTCAAATTTTACTATCAATGTATTTCTAGTTAATGGCAGATAACTTATTTTCTATTTCTATGAGTAGGGGGGCTTTGACCAGTAACTAGTCTTTTTACTGAATGTGACGTCTTTTAATCACTTTCGCTGGGGTCTATAGAAGTATAATGTATTATCACATAGATTTTTTATTAACCTTATATATTCGATTTGGGAAGCATAATACACGCAGATTCGTTTTTAAAGCGGTTTTTTATGCGGGAAAATGAACAAATACGTATCTAAAAAAAGCTTTTTTCTTTTATATATAAAAATGAACTTTTTAAAAACTAGGGTGATGAGGGAAGCAAGGTACAGCTGTACGAGTAGGTCGCTTTTAAAATTGAATTAAAAATGTCTTGTCTATTAAAGATGTGAAAGCTACTTTGATTTTCCCTTGCAATGAATTTGATATTTCGAAGTACTCGTGCCAGAAGCGTTATATGGTTCGAGAAACTGCTGAGATGTACTACAATTATGTACTACCTCATATTCAAGAAAACCAACCTTCATTGCAGGTACTTTTCTCGCGAATAAATGCATTTTCGAAAAAATTATTGAAACTGTGTTTAAGCTGTTTCAAAAGGGTAACTTCTTTTTTCGTTTTTGTTTGCTCTTAGTTAATACAATTCTATAGTATAGCCGCCTCATGCCAATTCACACACTTTTCACTCAGCATCTTATGATTTTTTTAAATTTTGCTGGTTGGTGAAGTCACGGCCAAGGTTGAAGCAATGAAAGAAGATTGGAAAAGCGAATTTTTGGCTGGTTCTTATCCTTTCATAGTTGCTGAGTTTGCCAATTTTTGCTTGAAGTAATCTTCCTACCTATTCTTGTAATTTTGCTCTATCTGAATAGTATTGCCCGATTTTCTTTTTTTAAATTTTTTGTATATCTTACTTTCAAAGAATTATTGCAGCTTTTAAATAGATCAAATACTTGGATAGATATATAAAAAGCAACAGTTTGGAAAAACGTAAGGGAGCTTCAATCTAAGTTTCATCAAAAAGAGCTTATTTTGCTGAGGATTTTTTGCTCTCTAGCATGTCACAAGTTGGTGATGTTTTTCTGGTAGGACTGGGAGTTATGTGCTAGAAAGTAAGGTGAGACTGTTAAAAATCTACCATTACTGCAGAAATTACCTACATTTTACAGTGGTAAAATCGTCGTAAATTGCAGACTCGGCTTATATGGGTCTGGATGAAGCGACACATTAACATTCAGTATGTTTCATGTGTTAAAGTTTTTTTGAATAGACTGCATACTGTAAGAAATGATGCGCAAATTTTTATTGTACGGTTATGAAGGTTTCTTGATTTTCGTGCCTAAAGTGCCAAATTAAGAAGATGCTTTATACAGAGTAGAAAGAACTTTTTGGCTGTAAGAAGCATACTTATAGTCTCCGTCATCCGTCTTTTAGTTCTACGGGCAAATACTAATTTGGTCAACGTTTTTTCGCCATCTTTTATAGTCTTTTAAGTTGGACAAATCGCGACAGATTTAGAAGTCTGTATCCGTTATTCTCAAGGTTAACATGATAGCCTCCGTGAGACTTTCCAGTGTTTATCACCTCTTCTTCCTGAGTAGCGAAGTCAGCGACATTTGTGCCGCATATACATATCTTTCTCGCTGCTACCCTACTACGAGAAGAAGCGAAAGTTGTCATTGCCGAGGTCTGCGAGGGTTTTCCAAAGGAGAGTCCAAAAGATTCATGTCGCTATTCCATCAACGTCAAGGAAGACTTTTTGAAATAGCACTCATCTTCAACCCCGAAGATTGAGCAAAAGGTTTAAAAAGCAGGTGTTGATCTGTAGGTGGCTTGTTACAGCTGTACACATCTATAATTCATAGATCTCTTCGTCTAGGATGCAGCTTCTCAGAACGATTGTCTTAAAGTTGAAACATGCTGGGTAATTGATGCTGGGTAACTTCTGTTTTAGCAGAAAATTTGATTTGGCTTTGTAAAATAAGTACAACTACAGTAACGACAATGGTTTTTTATTAGTTGCTCTTAGCTTTCAAGACCAAAGTTCTTGATTCTGTCAGAAAAATAAGACTGTTTTGTGGTGTTAGGTAAAGCAGAAAGTTTTATACAGAATGCTTTTTTTAATATACAGGGGCGTTTATCTATGCTTTTAAGCAAATGTTTTTGTTGTATTTGGTCACCCGGCCAGCTTAATTAAGAAGCGTAATCTTTTTCGAGGAAAGAGTGAAGAAGAAATCTAATTAAAGAAATTCTTGAATCCTATTAAGACCGAACTGAGCCAAAAGTTTGCAAAAATAGCCATGTTGAGCAGAGACCTAGCAAATTTTGCAATTTCGTGAAGGCCTAAGTTGGCGGCAGACTCACTTTCCAAATTCTTTCCCATATTTTCCAATCTGAGTCCAAATTTTTACTAATCAACAATAACTTAAAAAATTCTAGGCTATTAGGGAGAGAGGTATGTTAACCGGCTTGAGGAAGCCCATTATTATGTTGCACTTTTATAGAAATATCATTGCTCATATTGATTTTCCTAATTCATACAGTGGCTTTATGACGTGCTTGAATACAAAGCCGAATCAGAACGGATAATTTTTGATGATCAAGACCCCTTGTCAGGTTTTATGCTTTTACCAGATTTGAAGTGGGATGGTTGCAACCTTGAAAATCTGTATGTTCAGGCTCTTGTAAGACGGAAAGACATCAAGTCTGTTAGGTAATCATCTTGGTCATTCTAATTTTTGTTGAAGAAGTGACCCATGAATGAGGTTTTACTATATTATTCCTTTGCGTTTAGGGATTTAAATGGTGAACATATTCCGCTTTTAACGTCACTACGCGACAAATCCTACGCAGCAATACGCTCGAAATATGGTCTCAGTGAAAATCAGGTACGACAGTTATTGGTAAACATTTGCGAAAAATATTGAAGTGGCAAGTAGCCTTGAAGCTTCATTCTATTTAGTAATACTAGGATTTCTAACTGTAACTTTTCTCCAGTAACCTGGAAGGAAACTCATTGTATGAATTAAAATAGCTTTGTTCTAATCTGCAACTCTTGCTTAAAGTTTCGAATTTTAGCATTATTTTTTTAAAAGAAAATGCGAAAAGTGGATAGTGGAGTTAACATGAGGCAAGGTGAGTTTCCTTGAGGCAGTAATTAAGTTGCATTACTGTAACTTTGAGGCTCTCCTTGTGTCATTCTTCAGGTGCGTGCTTACGTCCATTATCATCCAACATTTTATCACTTTCATGTACATTTTATTGCCGTTTCATTCAACGTTCCAGGATCTCAAGTTGGGAAAGTGAGTGTTTTTGTACTGTTGATGAAAAAATTTTTTTATTTTTTTGATTCGTTCTGCCGCTAGTAAGGTACTCGTATTCGTGAAATATAAAAGACCTTTTAAAATCTTCACCTTTTTGTATTTTTATTGATTTTCTTATGAGCATGATGTCGTTTTACCGCTTTTCTTCAGTCTTGGGCAACTTTTCAATTCATTACTATCGTATTTTAGGCTTTGTTATTGGATGACGTAATTCAAAATATTCAGTTCACTTCGGATCACTACCAGAAAGCTACTTTGTCATTTATCATCCGTGAAAGAGACTCGTTGTTTGACGTTTTCAAAACCAGGAGTAATAACTTAGAAGCTGTGACTGAAATTACGTAATTTTGTATATCATATTGTTTCTTTTTGTAAATTGGACTACGTTTGAATAAAACTTTCGAAGTTTAAGCGTTGGGCTTCTAAATGTTAATCAGTAACTATAATGACTGTTGTTCTTTTAATACCGCAGAAGTTTCTTTCCTTAGTATTTTGCAGAATATTATTTGGATGAAACAATTTTCGGAATGCTTTGCCGTACAGTGAGGTTTTCAAGAAAATCTTACATCCTTTTTTTTTTTCCTTTTTTGCTATATTGCTGTATGATTGGGTTTTCTGTCAGAAAAAAAGCAGACAAATTCAGATTTTCATAATACCCTTACTTTTGAGGTTCCCTTCGGGAGGTTGCCAACGGTAGGATTAGTCGTGCGCATAGATGTTGTTATTTTGTCCAGAGTGTGGTGGTTCTTTGCAGATTGAGGAGAACAGAAACTGCAACCAATTTACGTGCAACAACTGTCCGTATGTGAAAAGTGTCACAAAGCTGGTCTGTACATTTTACTGTATTAAAAGCCACAGCACTAATTTGGACTAGCCATATATGTGCTGTTAAGAATTCAGTGAGGTTGTTAAAGGCAATATCATTGTGGTTCTTGGATATAGGCTCGCTGATATAGGTAGATAGTTCTTCGTTTTTCTGGCGTTCAGTGTGCTAGGAGTTTCGTGACAAACGAGTAGTACTTGGTCTTTTGAATTCAAAATTAATTTACTGTTTTGGCGGGAAACAATCCTTTATGTCTAAAGTTCGATGGATTTCTAAATTAATGTCTATTATTATTTAGTATTTTGGTCATTGTTTGAATTAGTTCCTGCTATTTGCAGTTGAGAAGCAGATATTATCCTAAACTGAAGGACTTGGATGAGATCTTAGGTGGACCAGGGGCCTGGGAAAACGCACAAATAACGGATGGTTAGTTGTTCCGCGTTTATACTCTGATTATTCTGTCTTTTGACTTTAGTTTAATACTTTTCTTGATGAAAGAAGTCTAGTCTCGACTGGTCTTTTACCTTTTACTTAATAACCGTCCTTAGTTTGATTTTCTAATTGTAGTAGATGGAAATATCTCTAGTTCGGTGGGAAAAATGTAGTACATCAGTAACTGCGAATATGATCCTTGTTAAAAAAATATTCGTAATTTTCTCCTGCGACGCCTATTAAGTATTTACTTTCTAGAACGTTGTCCGAAATGCGGCGGAGATAGAGCATATTTCATGCAGTTACAAACTCGGAGTGCTGACGAACCTATGACAATCTTTTATCGTTGTGCGAATTCGGACTGTGTGCATCGCTGGAAAGAATAAACTGATATTAAACCTATATAAGTTGGTGTCACTTGTTATATCACTTTGATAAAAAGTTCTTTAAAACACTTAAAGATCTTCAGGAGTTAAGCTGTACTTTTATTTATACTTCTATGGAATCCTTATTGGTCATTTTTGAATGGACTATATTTTTTACCACTTGGATCTTATTTTTAACTGGTGTATTCATCGTAACGCGGGCCACCTTTCACTCGTCCCTTTCGACTATTTCTTGTAACTTAGTAGCATTCTCAATTGCCAGGTTCTTTTTATTTGTTAGTTTAAAAAGGTCATGCTTTACTGTAAATAATTTTTGATTACTTGGTTTGTAAGTAAAAGAAGCCATAAAAGTTGGTTCCTATCAAGCCTTCATACTAATGGAGTTAATTAATCAAATTTTTAAAACAGTTCCTGTCTTTTTCAACTGCTAAGGATGTACAAAAAGAGTGCTACGAGAAACAAATTTCTGGCTGAAAGAGGACCACCAATCAGTTGTTTGGTAAGTAGAATGTGTCAGCAAAGGATAAAAAGTTTGATAAAATTAGAAACTTAAAAACCATGGTTATTCACTAATCCAGAGTTTACAGTGGATAATTGGCCTATTCACCGAATATTCATGCCTTGATTATCATGAGTCACTCCACTCCACTGGCGTCTTTTGGCATCTGAACGTTTTCAGAGTTGTTGCTGAACTCTTTTCAGATCTTTTAAGCAGCATATTCTCTTTGGTACAACCTCTTTCTTTATTCACTTTATGAAGTCTCTATCAGCAAACCCTCTAAATATTCAGTTTACTTCAGGCAGGTCGCAGTATCGGAACGTTTTTTGCTGGAGTACTAGACGAACTTCACTGGTCGTATAGAATACCAGCATTTGTAGTTGTCACCGTCTGTTTGCTCTCTACTGTCTTCGCAGTTTTCCGCTACGAGTTCAAACTTGTTTCTGGTTTATTTCAAATTACGCTTAGTTATAGCAGGTACCTTGTTAATAATTTTTTCTTGATTCACTCTCAGTGTTCCTGCTGTTTTTATCAAATTTATGTGATTTTATGCGTCAAATCTAAAGTGATGAGAAAAATTAAGTTTAAGTATTAAGCCCCTGACCAAGAAGATTTGGAAGATCGTGAGATAAAAAATTGATTCATTCTTCTCATGATAAAAAAACGGCACTTTCAGAAACCAACAGAATACTGTTTCAGAAATGATGGGAATGAAAGGCCTTTGCAGCACTGTGCTGTTGAACAGAATCAGTGGGATATCGAGAGGAAGCCCGCTGCGTTAGTGCGTGATTTACTGCAAAAAAGTACCGAATGAGGACGAGCAGTTCCACCGAAACTAAAAGAAAAAAAAACCCGTAAATTTTAAATATTTACTACCGTACTTCCAAAACAGGTGTACATCGCTCACTTTACGGACTGAAACATGATCGTCATGCAATCGTACCGCTTCTCATTGCTCAAACTTGTCTACTGCTATAAGTTTATTATAATAAACCATTACAGTTAAACTCAGTTCTTAATTGTTTTTTAACTTTAATTGATTCACTACCGTGCGATGGCCAAGTGGTGGCCAATTTGCCAATTTGTTTATTGTCAAGTAACTACAATTTTTTAAATGCTCTTGAAGTGAACATATAAATGAGAAAATAACAGAATTGTTTGCCAGAAGTAAATCTATAATTACCCACCAGAGCCTTTCGCACACATCTTTAAAACTGCTTTTTTTGAAACAATTAAAGAATGAATACCACAAATTTTTTCTATGATTTTACGACAGCTAAGCCTGCTTTAAATTCACAGTGACAGTTTTTCAAATCAACAATGCCTGAAAAAGTTTCATTGACTGCTCGGCACAAATAAACAGTTTTTTTGTTTTGTTTGGTCTGCCACTCTTCAAGTCTTCATTACCAGGAAATCAAATAAGTAGTACAAACTTGCTTTTTTCATGCGCTTTAGACTTCCCAGCAGTGCTACCAGTACTCTCATCCTCAGTAATCGAAGAGAAGGTTATACGCAACAAACGACTTGAGTGTAAAAATATTATACCTAATTATTTTTAAATTAAGAAGCACATATACTCGCCTGGAAATTGTCATTCGACCAAATAAAACTTATTTTTGTTGTCATAAAATCATCAAAATTCCACCTATACTAACTACTTCTAATGAATTAGAAAAGAAGACAACTTTATAACACACTCTTAGTCTAGTGAAATTTAAGTTTCCGACAGAGTTACAGGTATCAAATAAAGCAAAAAAGACAGTTGAATATTGATTAACTGGTGTGATAATGCTTCTTCTTTCTATAATAATTATCTGTTTTGACAAATTTTTGTTTTCACTTAGCCTCAGAGTGAAAAAAAAAAAAAAAGTGTGATACTTGACATATACACGTCTTTTTCAATGGATGATTTCAGTAACACTGCTGGCCATTCTAGTTAATAAAAGTAAGAAAAGGAACACATAAACATGAAGAAACAAAAATAACAAAAGTTTTGTCCACAAACTTTTAAAAATTGTAAATTTTAAAATTTCAATAGATAACTTGGTAAAAAAAATTCTTTTAAATTTATTTATCTTCTTCGACTATAAACAGTTACTATGTATAATTTCAACAATATTTTTTCTTTCCAGAAAAATTAAATAATGATGACGCAACTAAATGAGTAAATATTTGTTTCCCTCTCAAGATAATGCAACGTAGAACTAATATCCTTATTACACGTGTAATAACCCAAAAGGATAAATCGAAAAGACCAGCGAATAATAAAAAATATTTCAAATCAACGGTGAAAAGATGATGTAGCATAAGATTAAGGTTTGCAGATGTGTTTGTTATAGAATATTTGCCATCAATACATTTCACAGATAATAAATAAACGGAAAAAAAAAAAAAATGCAAAAACCACCACTAATACCCTATGATCAAAGTTGTAAAAATTAACAGCAAGTAAGGAAAAGAAAAAAAAAACTGGTCAATACAACTGTTTAACGTCTGACCCAATGGACAATTAGACGTCACATTCGGTTGGCGCCATTCCTGAATCAGGTTTCGGCTGACAGCAACACACACGTCACACAAGTTACCAGTGACCAATCAAAATGCAGCACGTCTAGTGCCGCCTACCTACCGAATATAAATTGCAGCGGCAGTAATCTCCGCCCCATACTTTGCATTTCTTAGCAAATAATGTGTTGCTCACTCAACAACAAAAGTTTTGCTATTTTGGACGTTCATCGGATTTTGCTTACCAAAATTTTTTGATTGTTTCGGTGTTTCTTTTAGTATTTTGATACTGCTGTATTCACATTTAGGAAGACGCTAATGATAACTTAGTTTGACTCGATTTTTCGCATATTATTTTTGTTTTTGCTGCGATAGCCGTTCTATTCCAAAAAAATTACAATTAAAATAAGAACCTACAACTTTTTCTGTTGTGTTTTGTGCGTATTTTTTACTTGGTTTGTTTTTTATTCAACGTTTCCTATAGAAATAATTCTTTTTTCAGATGAACCCTTGGTTGACAACTTGTATTGTTGCCATTTTGGCAATTTCTGTATTTGCCGATGGAGATAAAAAGGAAGTTAAATATGGAACTATCATAGGGATCGACTTAGGCACGACGTATAGGTAAATTTTTTTGTCTTTGACTGTCATAATTTTACCAGAATTTGTTGGAATCGAGTTGGATATTTGGGTTTTAGAGTAATTAAACTTATATAATGAGTTTTAAATGGTGCTTTTCCAGTTGTGTCGGTGTTTATAAGAATGGACGAGTTGAAATAATTGCCAACGATCAAGGCAACCGTATTACTCCATCATATGTTGCATTCACTAGTGATTCTGGAGAACGTTTAATTGGTGATGCAGCCAAAAATCAGCTTACTATTAATCCAGAAAACACCGTTTTTGATGCGAAACGTTTGATTGGCAGAGAATACAATGATAAGACAGTACAGGACGATATGAAAGTTTGGCCGTTCAAGGTACACCTCTATCAGCTTGGTTCGAATGCCATAAAATTTTTTTTTCTGTTTTTCTGTAGTTCTCTGAGTGCTACGGATTGATGGTTTTTCCTTTTCCAGTTGATTAACAAAAGCAATAAACCAATGGTACAAATGAAAGTTGCGAAAGACACGAAAACATTTGCTCCTGAAGAAATTTCTGCTATGGTTTTGGGAAAAATGAAGGAGATTGCGGAGTCGTATCTTGGTAAAGAGATCAAACATGCGGTCGTCACTGTACCAGCTTACTTCAATGATGCACAGAGGCAAGCGACAAAAGATGCTGGCACTATTGCTGGTCTTAATGTAGTGCGTATTATCAATGAACCAACAGCGGCAGCTATTGCTTATGGCCTGGATAAGAAGGAAGGTGTGTAGCATGTCAAGTTCGACTTTGTAGCGCAGCTAGGAACGTTTGAGGAGCTTCTCTTTAATTGTTTTGATCATGGTTTTATAATTGTCTTATTCTTTAGGGGAACGGAATATTCTTGTATTTGACCTCGGTGGTGGTACTTTTGATGTTTCAATGCTCACAATTGATAATGGAGTTTTCGAAGTACTGGCAACCAATGGTGACACTCATCTTGGCGGTGAAGATTTTGACCAAAGAGTAATAGAGTATTTCATCAAATTATATAAGAAGAAGACCGGAAAAGACATCCGCAAAGATACTCGCGCGGTGCAAAAGTTACGTCGGGAAGTTGAGAAAGCTAAGCGAGCACTTTCTACACAACATCAAGTACGTGTAGAAGTTGAGTCACTTTACGACGGTGAAGACTTCTCAGAAACGCTCACGCGTGCGAAGTTTGAGGAACTAAACATGGATCTCTTCCGTGCTACATTGAAGCCAGTCCAGAAGGTAAATTTTCTTGCTATAAGCATACATAA